ATTTCTATTATCAACACAGTGCCTAGGCTCTGCCTGAACCCTGAATTTCAAGTCTCGGGGTGTTGACTTCAGCAACCCAGCAATGCCATCTAATCTTTGTGACCTAAAACCTATTTGTGTTAAGCAGGAAGGCTTACCTAGGGTAGAAGGCACTCTCGAGTGGGAAAAAAGAGATAATTTATACTTTTCATAACATAATTTACTCTGACCATTTTAGAACAGGTTATGAAGACCACATACAATGATAATCTAACAAATTCTGTAGAAACTGTTATCGAGAGGAAGTTGTTGTCATAAATATAATTGTGTTTCTAAGTCTTCACTTGGTTGTATCACTTCCAAAACACAACAAAACCCACCATATATATGTTTATTTTCCTGCAATGTATCTACTGCATGTGAGGACAAAGAAAGTTATGTGGATATATGATAACCAAAATATACGTGTGCAAGTATGGGGCATGTTAATAAGAGCATTTCAATATCTACCATTTGACCTATTTGGCATTTTCCAAAATATTTTACACAGTATGCACTGAGACTAAAGTACGTATCACTTGTCAGTATGTTACCACATGGTAAGAAAAGAACAACTTAGCAGAACAAGTCAGCTTTAAAAAAAGACGTTACCATTTTAAAAACCATTTTTTAAGACAGCCTATCATATTCCTAATAATCTGTCCTGACTTTTACCAGTCAAATCAATTAAGTCCCTAACTGTCGATGCATTTTTTACTAAATAATGTATACCATCTTCCAACCTCAACCTCATTAAGGAGATTACAGTTGTCTGCAATATTTAAAAATATTTAGAATATTATACATTACATATTACATACTGAAAAGTTTGAGGTAGCCAAAATTAGAGCCCAACTTTATGAACAACAACACTCTTTCATTTAAAAAATGAAAACAAACACCACACTTTCTCTTCGGAACAGTAAGGAACACAATATAAAAAATGTTTAAAGAGCTTAAAATGTCACTAATGTCTTAAAATTTAAAATGATATTATGATGTTTAAAAAAAAAAAAAAAAAGATGGGTAGAGCTTAGTGGTTAAGAGGATTAGGCTCCAAAGTCAGATTGCCTGGACTACTTCTAGATCTGCTATATGTTAGCTGGAGCAACTCAGAAAAGTTAAGTCCTCACCTATATGTGGACATAATACTACCACTGTTCTGAGCATCTTACACATGGTAACCCACTTAATCCTCTCAATAACCCTATGGGGTTGGTCCTATTTCTAAATGCCCTCCCACCCCCAGAGGTTATATACCTTGCCCAAAATGGTGAGGAGTGGCAAATATACCATCCCAAAATATGCCACTTTGGCATAAGGATTATTCTGAGCTAAAGGCTCTTGAAAAACAGCAGGTGCAAAAAAGGGTTCTCTAACCTCCCCTTTCCTTCCTGAAAGCAGGAGAAAAAGCCCCCTGTAGAAGATGCCAGGAGGAAAGAAACATTCTTATCAGCAGAGGTAGAGAACTGAGGCCAAGAGAACTCTGTACAAATAGATCCTGCTAAAATAACTCTTATCTTCCTTTAGTCTCCCCACATTCTTTACTCTTCCACAGTGGCCTCTTTGTTCAACCTGATATATAAGCACGTAGGTTTTGCCACTTCTTTGGTCTTCATTTTCCTAGGGGGGATCCCGTGTACATGTGAAAACCTGCACACTTCTCTCCCGTTAACGCGTCCTATGTGTATGTACTTCTCAGGCCCAGGCAGAGACCCTAAGTGCAGCGAGAAGTTCTGCTTTCCCTCTAACAGAGACTCTGGCAAGTTGGAGCACCGGGATACAGAGCTGACGGGTCTGGCTCGAGTCAGGATTCTTACCTGCGCTTCACTGTAGCGCCTCTGAGGTGTGTCTGAGGAAGAAGGGAGGTGGTGTGGTCGATGAAAGAGGGAAGACACAGGAAGAGAGAGCTGACGCTGATGCTGGCTGGTGGCACCACAACTTCAGGAGAGTAAGCTCACAGGACAGTAGGAAGATGCGAGGATTTTTCATGCAAAGTGGTGAAGGGGTAGAGCTTTGTACCTGGAGGGCAACAGGGCTAAACAGAGACAAGCTTCAACACTCATGGAAGCTGAAGGACCAAGGAGCCTCAGCAGACATCTAGGGGACTTGTCATCTGGCTTGGATCATCTGAAACAGGGAGGGCCACCAGCTGCATTTCAAATTACATCGCTGCGGTGGAAAGACGACAGAAGTGTCACCATGACTGCCAGGGACACCACTGCTGCAGGGGAGGTACCGTGCAGGGACAGCACCTACCCGACTCCGTCCGAGACGGTCCTGGGAAAATGCCCTTACAGCACAGCATGTCGGCTTTCGGGAAAGTGTACCCTCAGAGCTTAGGTATAGCAGATGGCACAGCTGGAACACGAGAGCAGATGAGAGTAATGAAGTGCTGGAAGTTTCCTCAGGAATTAGCAAATTTGAAAGTTTCTGTGTCTTCTGAGGTTCAGCTAAAGACCACTTCTTTTAAGATTTTATTTATTTATTTGACAGAGAGAGACAGTGAGAGAGGGAACACAAGCAGGGGGAGTGGGAGAGGGGGAAGCAGGCTTCCCGCAGAGCAGGGAGCCTGATGCGGGGCTCGATCCCAGGACCCTGGGATCATGACCTGAGCCGAAGGCAGATGCCCAACAACTGAGCCACCCAGGCGCCCCTAAAGACCACTTCTTAAACCAGAGTCTTTTCTAGAAGAGGAAAGGTCCACAGTAAATAAGCTTCACCTGCTGAGGTAGAATAGCCTGGAAACCGAGCCCCTATTGGTCTAGCTAGCTAGAGTGAAGCATCTACATGTTTCGAGCCACCAGACACTGGAGGAGATTTCTGAAAGAGCAGCAGCTTGAGTGTTTTCAGCTGTGGTTAAAACTTACCCCTGAAGTGCTGCCAAATGGCAGGCCAGCGAGCCAGAGAGGTGAAGAAGATGTACAAAGAGTTTCTGAGGCCCAGCATTAGAAGCTGCACGTGCTCTCAAAGATGTCTATGCACGGGGGCGCCTGGGTGGCTCAGTTGGTTAAGCGACTGCCTTCGGCTCAGGTCATGATCCTGGAGTCCTGGGATTGAGTCCCACATCGGGCTCCCTGCTCAGCAGGGAGTCTGCTTCTCCCTCTGACCCTCTTCCCTCTCATGCTCTCTAACTCTCATTCTCTCTCTCAAATAAATAAATAAAATCTTAAAAAAAAAAGATGTCTATGCACGAATCTCAACATTCTTTAGATGGCTATTTGAGTACAAAAACAGTAATGTTGATTTTGAATCACGAAACAAAAAGCAGCAAAGTTCTCTACATATGTGTTGAGACCACAGAGAAACATAGAACAGAGTTTGGAACACCAGCCTTGGTTGAAGCAAATTTTGAGAGATGAATTTCTTGCGAAAGGCCTAAAGAAGAGACCAGAGGCATCCCTGAGGTTCAGCTAGTGAGGCTAATTCAGGAGGTACGAGGGAAGCAACACTGGCAACTTTCAAGGAACAGAAGTTGGGACTGAGGGAGCCAGTTCTGACCTGGAAGCCATGGCACAAATTCCTGAGTGGTAAGAAGGGCCAGATAAGCAGGCATGTGCATGGAACCCCAGCTTATGCTCGTCAGAAAGTTCCCCAGGAAAAACCACTGGCCCTGGTCAAACAATGCCTCACAATTTTTGCCTCAGGTGTAGAGGATCTGGGCAGAGAGAAAACAGCTCTGACCACCCGAGCTATTGTCCCTGTCCCAGGACAAATGAGGCAGATTCACAGAAAGTGCCAGAAGGGAAAGGGCATCTGCCAGCACTGCATATTCTGGCCTGCCAGAACTCGACTGTGGAAAAGATGGGATATTCTAAGGTAACATTTAGCCACAAGAAAAACTCTAATCTGTCTCCCAGAGGTTGAGGCCTAGCAATGGAAGAGGGCCAGATGGGTGAAACCTTTGTGTCCTTTCTGTGAGAGGCCAGACCCTCAAGAGAAGGCTGAAGAGGCAGAGACCCAGCCACCTACCCTTCTGAAAGTGCGGGGAAAGAGGACTGGCAAGAACCCTGGCTCTGAGAGGACCTAAACTGAAAATTCAGGATCACCCTCAAATCCAAGGAGCCATCCTCCACTTTTCAAGACATATAGAGCATTTGCCAATACAAGGGGATCCCAGTCTGACTGGGCCAAGACAAAGACTGTAAGAGGTAGGAAACTGGAATCTGGAAAGGGAGACACCGGAGAAACATCCCAGGGAGCAAATACCCTATGAATTTATGCACACCCTGTCAGGGAAGGAGCTGAGTTGGGCAGGAGGAAGTCCAGAGTGGAAGAGGGTGCATGCTACGTGGGAACGTTAGGCTTTGGCTCACCATCCTCTGGGGAGAGAATTTCTGGAACGAACTATACAAAGACTGCAAATCTCTTCCTTGGGGGAAAGACACAGGGACATGAAGGAAATGTTATTTTTCAGAATTCCCCTTGGAAAGAGCATTGTATTTGTTTGAAAGAAATTTTTTTAAAGCCACCAAAATCGTAATAACTGCAGGTATCAATCAATTTTATAATAGAAAATAAACCAGTCTTAACAAACATGTAGGAGACAATTTAACATATTTAAAAAGTATACTTAATTCAGCAAAGTATTTATTGGATGCCTAATTTAATTTCAGATGCTAATTTAAGAAGCAAGGTTTGGTGCTGTTTATAAAGCAGAACTTGATCTACCAAGGATCCTTCAAGACTTCTGGTTTTTCACAATTAAAAAGGTTCACCAGCTTATGTAGAAAAAAAAAGGGGGGATGATTTTACACATTTAATTTGAAGGATATAGCCAAGGTAATATATAAGAAGTGTATGACTTGATGATAATAATCTAAGTGATTAATGACCTTTATTTTTATAGATTTCATATACATAAATGAATTCTGGAATTAGTAGGAAATAATTTTTAAAAAATCAATCACATAATTTTCAAGTAATCTTTTAAAGGAAAAATTATTCAACCAATTATGATTTTGTTTCTTAAAAAGACTCACCTAAAAGGACAAATCCATCTGCTTCTGTATCTGGTGCAGAGGGCTTTTTAGATTCCGGAGATTTTCTGAAGAAGGGAAACATTGCTGCTGTCTGAAACAGAAACACTATATAAAGCCAAGTTCAGATGAAAATGTAAAAAAGTCTTACCCTTTTTAGTAAAAAGCCAAACATAGAGATATCACAATAATTACTTTTAAGAATTCTATTACCAGACTTAAGAACATAAGCCCTCTCCAAGTGTCAGAAGACAAACCCAGATATTAAGGGGCACAGACTTCCAGTTCAAAATCATGTGTGCCTTGAACCGCGCAACCTTTATCAATTTCTGAACAGGCAGGAAATTATACATATAAAACTAAAATCAACAGATAACACCAGAATCTGGAAGGATCTCGCTAACGATAAACTGGACACGGGACTGGTGAAAGGAAAAACCAAACCAAACAAAAACTTGTCCAGGTTTCTTGTCATGCCATAACCCGCTTAAGCTTCATAAAACTGAGGCCACGTAAAAAAAAGAAAGGAAGGCACTTCTAACATCCTCCACAGTCGGTTACCTGATTCAGACACTCCAGGGCTGACTGTATCCATTGCAACCAACTGTAAATTCCCATCAATGCAGATCTTTGTGTTGGTAAGACTGTGTGCCCCAACACACACACACACACACACACACACACCACTTTTCTCTTTCTCCTCCCATCTTTGTACATTCAGGGAGGACAACAACTCCTAGAAAACAATGGGGAAGGAAGTTGAGGGGGAACCAAAGAGGACACGTCAAATTCTGAGGACAGTCCCTGTAAGCAAAGCAACGTAAGTCTTGGTGGCAGCAAGTGCTCCACATTTTAGTTTCATATATTCCACCCACACCAGAAAATGAAGCAGGGAGGGTAAATAAAGATTTTATCTGAGCAAAAGCCTTCTGGAAACGGAGAACTGTACTGGGGTTTGTGGAGGTCGACTTGCCCTGAGCTGTGGACCCGAATGTACAGTAACGGAGCTTATTTGTTGATAGAAAACATACAACTGGAGAAGAATAACACAAGGCATGTGATCAAGAAAATAGTTCAGTAAAGGAAAAGGAGCAGCCTCTGAAATCCTCAAAGAAAACACAAGATACAGTGAGTGGTCTAAAGGAAAGGTCTGGAAATAGTTTGGCATCCTCAGCAGAGGACAAGGAGACACAGCCCATATGGAACTGGTGAAAAACGAGATTAGATGCAAAAGCAAATGCAAAAGATGAGAAGACAGAGTGAGATGCGAAGAATAACTGAGTAAGATGAAGAGAAGCGTGTGCGAGAAGGAAATGGTATCAGAAGAGATACCTGGTTGGCTTACAAGCAGGAATGTACAAAAACAGAGCTCAAAAACTTGAAAGACTGGAAAAGGCAACTGACTTCTCAACCCCAAGCAGTTGAAAATAAGACGGAGAAAGCCTTTGAAGGAACAACAGCGGATTAAAACTCAACCTCAGGTAAGCATCAAATCAAGACTACAACCATTACACCTGGTATTAAAACCTCAGCCTGGTTCAATGCGGCATGTCGTCAATCCCCTCACTTGGGATAAAATGGTTCAGGAAAAACAGACAAAAAGGTTAGGTCTTCAGCTGAAGCCTAACAGAGAAAAGTTACCCTCATATAAGGAAAGAGGGAGCGAGGACCTGTGGGGTGAAAGCAGTGAGGAATGTAGGAAATCTGAGAGATGTCTAACAAAAATTGTAGGTCTGGCTATGGACACAAGAAGCCGACTGGAATCAAATAGCTAAGAAGCCAACAAAATGTTTGAGAGCTGTATGGCTAAAATGACCACTACCAGTCTGGATTAAAAGAAGATCAGGGCGCTTGAGTAGCTCAGTCTGTTAAGCAGTTGGCTTGGGCCATGATCTCAGGGTCATCGGATTGAGCCCCGCATCGGGCTCTCACTCAGTGCGGAGTCTGCTTGAGATTCTTTCTCTTTCCCTCTCCCCCTGTTCTGAAATAAATAAATCTTTTCTTTTTTCTTAAAGGAGGACCATGACTAGTGGATATTTAGAACAACCCTAGAGACAGAAAGTTGCCAGAGAAACTGCACAGACCCCAAAGAGGGCCTATTCTCCAGTACCCGCTTCAGGGATAGCCAAGGAAGTTACTAGAAAAGGAGGAAACTCCAAGAGGGTGGAGCCAATGGGCATGGAGAACAAGGACTGGGGACCTCTCCCAGGAAGCAGAATCTGGGCATAATTAATAAACATCCTCCAACCCAAGGTGGCGGCCCCCCCAAAAGCTTGCTCAGTTCCATTTCAGAATTGCTACCACTCCATGACTATTGTATATCTCCCACTCCTCCCCTTTCTGAATGAGAGTGGTTCGGGCAGTATGTTTCCCAGTTCCACCAGAGTGGGAGGGGACAGGGGGGTGGGTCATTTTAATTCATGAAGTCTCCAGACCAAGAGATGGCACACCTGGGCCTGATGGAGAGATACTGGCCTTCGAGTGTGACGCTGTGACCGAATGGTGCAGTTTAGATTACTGCCCTTAGGGAGGGGTGAGTTATCTTGCCTACAATGAAGAGAACTGTGTATGTGGTGACCACAAATGAGAACCATGGAATCATCAGGGTTGGTCACTGGTTCTCTGCCTTCTGGAGACATAGGACTGCAGTTTTCTTTCCTCCTTGGAGGTAGATGTGGCCATGTAGCTTTCTTAGTTCACTGTGTCATGTGCCATTAGGGTGCTACATCAAGGAGCTTTGTGAACACAGAGAAAGAGAAGCCCTTTAAAAAGCGGTTCCTGTTCTAGCATATAAAGAAAAGCATTCTAACAGAAGTATTCAAATTTCCAATATTTTTTTTAAGGTTTTATTTATTTATTTGTCAGAGAGAGAGAGCATAAGCAGGGGGAGTGGGAGAGGGAGAAGGAGGCTCCCCGCCGAGCAGGGAGCCTGGTGGGGGGGCTCGATCCCAGGACCCTAGGATCATGACCTGAGCTGAAGGCAGACGCTTAACCGACTGAGCCACCCAGGTGCCCCTCCAGTACTTTTTCATGTCTGGCCATAAAACAGAAACGGAATGAACATGGAAATTATAAAAGTGGTTCTGTTAAGTCAGTCTCCAGCCCCAAAAGTTTAAATATGTTGTTATAAAAGCCAGACCAAGTGGCACCTGGGTGACTCAATCAGTTAAGTGTCTGACTCTTGGTTTCTCTTTTTAATGCAAGTGTTTTGTACAGAATTTGTAACTTAAGTAATTAAGTGAAGCATTTAAATTTTTCATGACCTAAAACATCAAATTTAAACTATACACAGGCTGCATCAGTTTGTGTTTCTTAAAACTCAATAATGACAAAACAACTCAAAAAAAACTAGGCAAAAGATAGGAACAGACACTTCACCAAAGAAGATATGTGGATGGCAAACAATCACATGAAAAGATGTTCAACATCCTTAATCAATAGGCAAATGCAAATTAAAATCTCAGCAAGATACCACTATATACCGATTAAAATATTTAAAATTTAAAAGGCTTGCCATGCCAAGTGTTGGCAAAAACGTGGAACAACCGTAAGTCTTGTATACTGCAGGAGGTGTGTAACACAGTACAACCACTATGAGTAAGAGTTTGGCAGCTTCCTGAAAATATAAACATACATCTACCATATGACCCAGACCTTCTCCTTCAGGTATTTACCTAAGAGAACTGAGAGCGTATGTCCACACTTGTACACAAATGTCATCCAGCTTTTTTAGTAATAGCCCAAACTGGAAACAACCCAAATGTCCCAAACCAGGTAAATGGATACACTCTGGCATATCCATAATACTATTTAGCAGTAAAATGGAATGAAGTCCTAAGATCTGCTACAACATGCATGAATCTCAATAGAATTAAGCTAAGTGAAAGAAGCCAGACAAAAAAGAGTTCATACTGTATGATTCCATTTATATGAACTTCCAGAAAATGCAAACTAATGTATAATGACAGAAAGCAGATCAGTGGCTGTCTGGGGAATGGGGAAGGGGGGTGGAGGAAGGAGGGATTACAAAGAAGCACAAGGAAACTCTGGGGCTGATGAATATGTTTATTACAGTGATTGTGGGGGATGGTTTCAGGGGCATAAATATATCTCAAAACTCATCAAACGATACACTTTCAATATGTGCAATTTATTGTATGTTGATAATAACGCAACAGAGCTATTTTAAAAATTTGTTATTAGCACAATATCCTAGATGTCATATAAATGTTTAGTTCACATGATTCCGGAAAATTGTCTCAAATCTCTTAAACCTCTGTGTGTGTGTTACAGATACAGTCTTTGTATTAAAGACAAACTGCTTCTTTTCTGTGTGTATCCACACAAAACTGAAAAATAAAAGGACAGTGTCTTCACTTTTAATGGTATGCAGAGAAGGCATATAAAAGGGCTAGCCTGATCGCTAGACAGGGCAGATCCTATTGCTCTGAAAGGGCAGAGAGTAGGGCAAGTAATATATTTATTTTTCCCTATTATTCTAAGGCTTACCTATTAAGTAATATTACCCATGACAAAAGGATTAAGGCAACCTGGTTTTCTCAATTTATCTTCTTTCAATTTCAATAGACTACTAGGTAATATAAAATGCACATACACCGCAATTCCTATCTGTGATTGATCAACAGCGGCCACTTAACTGTAATAACATACAAGTTTCCCCTGCTATCCGAACGTAGAGCACTTCTATAAAAGCTTTTTCTAAGCCCAAATGGCATAAAATGAAAAAGCAATTATCATTAATTTGTATGGAAAAATTTTTGAACATTCCCAGACCCCCAAAATAACTTCTCTTCAGCTTTTCAGGTACCTTAGGACACATCTTGCTAAGGGATACACAAAATAAATCCAGATAAAGCACAGATGCTCGGGGACACAGTGGAGACCTATGGCAGTTTGATGTGGAGATGCTGAGTGCAGTTCCCAGGGAAGGTGCCTGGCAGGGTCCCTCTCGTTGCTTAGGATGCACACTGCCTCTACAATAGCTTGCTGCAAACACTGAGCCCTATTTTTACTTTTCGCCTTTTTATCATAGAAGTGGAAAATCCTCCTCAGACTTGTTTCAGTTGACAA